GCACACGCTCAGCGAAGACTCCTACAAGGACAGCACCCTCATCATGCAGCTGCTCAGGGACAACCTCACGCTATGGACAGCCGAGTGCGCCGGGGAAGACGGCGGCGAGGCTGGCGAAGAGCCCAAGAACTGAACCAGCCCCCATGGAGCCGGGGACTGGCCCCCACCTTCCCCCCCCACCCCACCCCCCACCCCACCCCTCCAGTCCCTTGGGCGTCGCCTCGTGGTTTTCTTTGTTTTTGGTTATTTTTGTGGTTATTTTGGGGGGGGAGGAGGGAAGGAATCTCGGCTCCCCCCCAGCTTGGATGCCGGGATCGGGGGATGGCTTTGGCATGGCCCCCCCCCTCCCCTTCCCTCTCCCCTATCCTCTGCTCTGGGGTGCGGGAAGGGAGGGAGAGGGGGTTCCTCCATCGCAGCCCCCCTCTTTTTAACATTGCGGGGGGCAGCCTGGTCTATGCTGGCTCCAAACCCCCTCTTTTGGAGGGCTGGAGCTGTGATGGGAGGAGGTGAGGGGCCGGGGGGGGGGGGGGGGGGGGGGGGTGTCCGGGCAGGCCCCCCCCATCCCGGAGGGGTGGTGATGTGAATTGCCAAAGCCTCCAATAAACCGTCTCCTGCACCCCTGCCTCTGGTCTGCCTCGTCTCTCCCCTGCACACGCGTCCGGGCAGCTCCTGCTTCACCTCCTGCCCCACCAGGACCAGGGAGCAGTCGGGTCCCAAGGGATCTGCAGCACCCGTTCGGCTGCTCCCGATTCCCCCCCCCAGCCCCATGATGGGGTCTCAGTGTACCCAGTGAGCCCCATCCCTTGGTGGCTGCATCACCACAGCCCATGGAAGGGCTCCGGGGGGGGGCTGGGTGAGGGTTCCAGCAGCCCCACTTTGCCCCACGGAGTGCACTGATGTCCCTGATCCCACAGCGAGGTGTCCCACCCCTTGGAAACCCGCGGTGCCCCAAACCCCATCACCAGGTGTGTCGTGTGTCACCCCCCCACCCCTTGCTCTGTCCAAGGAGGGGCCCCCCAAAAGCAGCACCGTGGGGACAGCCCTGGGGTGTCACCGAGGTGGGGACGCCCCCACCAAGGCCCAGACGCGCTGGGATGAGCGAAAACTCAGCACTTGTGGCGCTGGCGCCCGGCCACGGCGCTGGGTGCAGCTCATGGGGCGCAATCCTGCCCCCTCCCCGCCGCCGGTGCGAGTCCCGGCATGAGCAGTAATTACAGTGCAAGGCAGGCACGGCACCCTGGGCTATGAGCTCATCAGATCCAGCGCAGCAGGGCTGGGCAGGAGCCGGCCTTTGATGGGAAACGCCGGGATGCCGGGAGGAAACGTGCCGTGACTCAGGATGAGGCGCCCCGGTCCAGCGGGGTCCCCCATGGGGGACATGGCAGGGACATGGCAGCGCGGCCAAACCCCAGCTCTTGGGGTGCTGGGAGCTCCTGGGCTTTGGGGAAGCTGAGGCACAACCAGTGACCCCCACACACACAAACTTTGATGGGTGCAGGGGTTGCGGGGGGGGACCCAGCACAAAGCCCCATCGGGTGCAGGGCCCGGCCTGGTGTGTGATGAGGTTCATCGGGGCTCTGCCGTGGGAAAGCGCTGGCTGCTGTGGGAGGTTGAGCTGCACAAACCAGAACCTGTTTGCCCTGGATGGGAGCTCGTCATCAGCTGGAGCAGAGCCCAGCCAAAGGGATTAAACCCCCCCCCTCCATCCCCCTGCCCTGGTCCTGTCCCCATCCCCATCCCTGCATCACTTCGGCCTCACCAAGGGCCGGGCCAGCGGCCCCACAGCAGGTCCCGGTGGGGCGTGGGGGGGGGCGGCCCGGCGGTGTCGGGGGGGGGGGACACGGGACACGCTTGGCCTCCGCCCGGCCCCGAGCGCTCCCAGCCTGGGAACCAGCCCCAGCCTGTAATTACCCAACCCGACGTGAAGAACGAGCCCAGGGCTCCGCTGCCCCTGACCCCCGGCGCCGGGGACACGGGCAGCCCGGGCTGGTTGAACCGGAGCGGGGGGGGGGGAGCTGGAGGGGCACGGACCCAGTGCCAGGGACGGGGGGGGGGGGGAACGGGGTGGCCGCTTGCCCCGGCTGCCCCTGGGGCTCCCGGGGGCAGGGGGACAGCGCGGCTCCCGCCAGCTTCCCGAGACGGAGCCGATTTCAACAGCGCCCTGGTTGCTGCCGTGTGGGACGATGCTCCCCGGCCGCAGCCGGTCCGGCAGCTTTGTGGGGCTGGGAGGGAGGCCCCAGGTCCCCGAGGCAGGTCCCGTGAGGGGGTTGTGCTGCTGCGGAGCACGAGGAGCTCCCCGGGGTCCTCCTGGGCCCGGTTTCACGTAGATCACAGAACCACGGCGTGGTTTGGGGTTGAAGGGACCTTAAAGCTCCTCCGGCTCCAACCCCTGCCACGGGCAGGGACCCCTTCCACTAGAGCAGCTTGCTCCAACCTGGCCTTGAACACTGCCAGGTATCGGGACTCTGATCCCCATCCTTGTCCCATGGCTGAGGATCATCGGAGGATGCTTTCAGCATCCCTGGAACGGGTGCACAGCAAAGCTCTTATATGTTTTATTGACTTTAACACAAGTGGAGCAAAGGGACAAGGGACACGGGACTGTCCCCTACCCTGAAGCCCCCCCCCCGCAGCCAGGCACTGGGAGCAGGTCCAGGGCTGCAGGACCATGGCTGGGTTTGTCCCTTGTCCCCGGCTCTCACAACCTCCCCACAGGGCTTCATGCCCCAGGGCCAGGGCTGGCCGGCTCCTGGCTGATGCTGAGCCGCCACCAGCACCGCCCTGGTGTGGCAGCACCCAAGGGAGCCGGTGCTGGGTGCTGACAGCGCTGGCCTCCTGAGTGCTGTAATGGAGCCAGCAGCGCCCCAACCTTCCCTGGGGCTGGGGTGTGGGGTCACACTGGGCTCAGCCTCTGGATTTTAGCCCATCTCATCCATCCCACAGCCCCCAGCAAGGGGCCGAGCCCTAACCCACACTGCGAGGCTGCCGAAAGCACGCATCCTGGTACCCACGGTCACACCCGGCTGGTGGCTCACTTGTCCTGATGCACACGCTGCGTTTTGGGCTGTGGAGAGGGACCTTGTGGCTGCCATGGGGTGACCCAGCTCTGGATGTACAACCAGGGCTCCAGCGTGGCTGCCTGGCCACAAGGCAGGAATTGGGGCTGGAAGGTGATGGGGGCATGGAAAACCCCATCTCTGGGGCTGCAACCAAAGCCCAAACCCCTCCATCCTGATCGAACGGGACCTCAGCCTTCAGGCTCACCCAGGAGGTCCCACACGTGGTCAGGGTGGGCTCAGCCTCCCCTGGCGCTGGGCTTGGAGGGGCTGGCACAGGTAGGACCAGCTCTGCAGAAAGCCTGCCCCCCCCAGGGATGTGCCTCAATGGGGTGACTAATCCTGGCCCTTCGCCCCAGCTCGTTGCTCAACGGGAACGACAGGAGCCAAAGTGTCACCTCCCTCAGCCCTGGGAGCCTCGGCGAGGCCCTTCCCCTCCCAGCGTGGGGACGTGGGTGCAGGATCCTGTGCCCGGGACCTCCGTGCATCCCCGCCCGCTGCAGAGCCCTTTTCTGCTTCACCCCGACCAGGGAGAATCAGCCCTGCTTCAGCCCCTGCTTTCCAACCCCAGGCTGCAAAGAGCCCTCTGGTGCTGAAACCCGGCCCTTCTCAGGCTCTTTAAGACCTCAGCGTTTCTTGGCTTGGACACGGCAAAGCTTTCCTGAGCTGAGAGGTTTCTGCCACCTCTGATTGCCATGCTCTCCGAGGCTGGGGCTGCAGATGCTGCCTGGGTATTAACATAAAGCAGCCGAACAGCCACCCAGGCTTTGATGGCTCTGGCATAACTCCAGCTTGACCTGAGAATCCCCTTTTAAGCCACCAAATCTCCGCAAGCCCTGAAAAAGCAGCCATAAAACCTCACATTTTTATGATCGCATCTCTCACCCCTTTACTGGGCTCAAAGCTGAGGCAGGGCCACGAGGCAAGGGTGGAATCTGAGCTCTGGTTAGGGTTGGATCGGCTTCCAGAACGTCAGCCCCACAGAGCACTGAAATGCAGCTGCTGGATTGCAACCAGGAATACCCAGGGAAGCCCCTGGGCTCTTGGGAAAAGAGCTCAGGTGCTGCCAGCCAAGAGGAATTGGACTTCTATATTGGAAATGTCAGTGGAGTCTTTCATTATGAACTGTGCGTGTGCACATGCAAGCAAATGTCTTTGCCCTCCTTCTCCTCCCTCAGCTCCTCCTTGTCTCCAAATCCTGACCCCAAAGCTGTGAGCTGCAGCAAAACCTGGGTTTAATTCCCTGCCTGGCTGCAGTCCCTAAGCCAGACGCTGCTCACATTTAGCTTGAGTCTGCAACCACCCTGCTAAGGACCGAATTGTCCTGTGAGGAAGAGCTGGCTTATTTTATGCAAGGTCTTGGGCAAGAGGTGATGCTGAGTCTGCACATGAGCTGGGAGCCGGGAGTCTCGCTCGCTCCCATCCGGGAGGCACTGGGAGCATTGCCCAGTGCGGACGCTTCACTTTGCATCACCCAACCTTTGCAATTCCCTGTCCTGATGGACCCAAGCTGCTGCAGATGCAGAGCAGGTGGCGCAGGAGGCCGAGAGCTGCAGCAGACCAGCAAGGAGGAATGACACGGGAAGGAGGCGAAGCACCAGGGTTTGGGACGTGAAGCAAGCGCAGGAGGTGGCTGAGGGCTGACAAGGCAGCTGCTGGGAAAGGCCCTACATGCAGAGCACGTGCTCCAACCTCCTGCTGAATCACACAGGGTCTGTCTTAATCGAAAGCCTCCAAGAGCAGAGCTTGCAGTTTGTGTGGCACCATCAGCGCCCTGGCAGAGCACAGGAATGACCTGCTTTCACATCCCACAGTCACCCTCCCTCCCTCCAGCAAACACTTGATGATCTACCTGAGAACTGGACATTCCCACCAGAGGCTTTCTAGCCTCGGGCTTTGGAGCACTCTTGGTTTTATTTAGTCAGGTTCAGCCAACTCCGGGGATGAAAGCGAGATGAAGGAGTGTTTTATTAAGAAAGAGTCCATCATTACTTGAAAAGAAAAACAACCCTTTCTCTGTCCTCCTTGGGACAGGTTGGAGGCTTCTCAGCCTGGTTACTCTGAGCACGAGGCCTGTGCATGCTCCTCCTACGCAGTAAACCCCAGACTTCTGCCTCAAGTCTCACTGCAGAAGCGACATCTCAATCTGATTTTTTCCTCCTTTGGATCTCTCTTGGTCATGATGGGTAGGAGAAGACATAGCTGAGGTCAGTCTCCTTATCTTGCTTCTCTTCTCCTGCTGCCCATGCCTTCACCTGCCTAAATCTCTCGTGCTCCTAAGGAAAGACTTGGCTTTCCATCACCTTCCTGCAAAAACACTGCTCCGTGCAGCAGGGCTGAAGCACGAGAGGTCAAACCCTTACAGAGAGGGAGTCCAGCAGCCAGACCTCTGCCTGGAAAAGCTTTCACTTCATCTGAGTCACACGGCCCGGAGATCCCTTAAGCTCCTGGTAGGAAAAGGAGAGGTGTCAAAACAGGGAGCAGCCGTGGAAGGGGTGGGTGTGTTACAGATCCATCACTTCTTCTTCCACAGCTTTGTCCTGAGATTGCACATACCTCTCCTGTACTGCAAGTGTGCTGATAAGGCAGTAATTAAGGAAAACAAGGGGCTGGGTTCAAACACTCCCTTCTGCAAGGAGTTCTTAACGTTCTCAGTGAGGAACCAGCCCCATATTAGCCTCAAGGCTGGCAGGAAGACAGTACTGGCAGCAGCACACAGCACCTGAGTTATTTCTGGCTCTGGCTGATCCCAGACCTGACAAGTACAGGAGAATCAATTGTATGGTTTGGATGAGTGGAATGAACCACTCCAGGTTGGTGTGAGAGACAGGGAAGTTGTCAAAAGAGTCTTCCCACATTCACAGTATCAATTAGCAACGACTGTGGTGGCTTTGGCATGGACAACTGTCTGTAAGGTCAGGGCTGAGCCCTACCAACTCGCTGCATAGGTCTCACCCAAACAGCATCAGATGATGCTGGGAACAACCAGGGCCTGCAAACTGCCAGCCACACCTCCAGTTTGTCCTTCCCCAAGGAAAAACTCAACAGACAGAGGGTCAGTGGTGAAGGATACGAAGTGAAGTGGAAATCAGCTCCCACTGCTGCCGACATCAATGCTTCGAGGCTCCTGTGCTCCTGGTCTCCAAAGGAATAGCCATTGGCTTTGTCCACTGCCTGCATCACCTGCTGCATGCTCTGCTTGTCCTGGAAGGGAGGGAGATGACACACAGGGAATCTGGTCCTTCCCCTGGGGCAAGACAGCTCCTTCCCCAGGGGCGCAAAGGGACACAGGACAAACAGGGGCACCCACTGCTGAGCCCGAATACGTGATGGGCTGACACCCTCCACCTTCTCCCTCCCTTTCATCACCTCTTGTCTCAGCCCATTTGCCCTTGTTGGCAGCGCTGCAAACTACCAGATGAACATTTGCAGCCCTTCCTCCCAAATGTATTCCTCCCAGTCTTCTAATTATTTTAGGCTCCCTAATTTAACGTTTTAGGTTAATACTTTGTCCAGATTTGAAGCACAGGCACAGAAGAGCTGAATGCAGCGGGACCCCAGGACACACACAAGGCCCACACAGCCCTGAGCTCATCAGCCTTTTCTTTTCCCTTGGCTGCCACAGATCACTCACAAGCGTTTCACTCTCCTCCTCCATTCCCAAGTCTTTCCACAGCTCCTCCTCCCTCCCCAAATCTCTTTCAGCTCTCATGGCTCTAAGCAGACACAACCTGGCTGCTACCAAACTGCTGGCCAAACACCCAGTGCTCCCTGTTCTCTCTGCCCCACTCCTGCCTCCTCACCTGGACATTGAGTGGAACGAAGGACACCAGGCTGTAGTCCTCAATCACCTCCACCAGCTTCTCATTGAGGCGGCGGTAGTTTCTGAAGAAGGGGTCAGAAGCTAAATGGTCAACCAGATAGGAGAGGTCCAGGACCTCTGTGTAATAATCCAGGTTGAAAGCTGCATGGAAACACCAAGAAGCTCTGAAGGCAGCTTGTAAATTGAAGAACCCAGTGAGATTTACACCAGTTCCCCATCCATCTCCCAGCGATGCATCCCTCAACACCTCCTTTGTACCCGTCCCAGCCCAATTCCATGTGTGTCTCTCTCCCAGGCTCTTACCCAGTTTGCCATATTGCTCAATCAGGTCCATCTTGGAGAGGACATTGACATGGGGCAGCTCCACGTGCAGCATGGTGGACAGGGAGGTGCAGAGAACAGAGATGAACTTGCCAGGGTCTGTGCAGTAGTGAGAATCCACCAAGTGCACTGCAGCCAACTGGACAGCAAAGGCACAGAAGGACAGCACCAGGTCAGACCCATGATGGAGTGGCTATAGGACAACCTGTTCAAGACCTGACTATAACCACATAGACCCCCATACAGGGAAAGTTATCACCTACCTCCTGAATAGAAAACATCCTCACATACAAGTGCATGCATATAGCAAGTCTATCCCACCACACTCCCATCCCACCTTGGGGATTGAGAACTCAGGGTGCTGCTGCTCAGAAAGGGCTGTAGGGATGGTTAGAGGGGTGCTGAGCCCCACCAGCACTACTGAAAAACACTTAAATCTGCAACTGCTGCCCTTTACTTCCTTTGCAGCTGAAGTTTCCATGCCTGTCTGGACTCAGCAGGGTTTTGGGTACTGGGAGCTGGGGTTAACTCTCCTGAACACCACGACTGCTTCCAGATGTCCACCTTCCCCTCAGGAATGCTCAGGAGCAGTGACTGCAGCACACCACGTTCTGCTGGGAGAACCAATTGCCCTGTGGTTTGCAATAATAATTAATAATTACACTAATGAGCAGGTTGATTCCTGGCGTTTTGTGGAGCTGTAACAATGTGGTCTGAGATCTCTGTTAAGTTACTGCCTCTTACACAACGTTACTCAAAGCCAGGGCTCTGTAGTTGAGTGTGGCTGAGTCACAGCTATGCTTCTGCAGCAGAAAAGAGTCAGTTTCAAGCTGACAGGCACTCGGGCCAGCATCACCACAGCAATGCAACTCTCTTTTTTTAGCAACCCCAATTGCATGCACATTTATTTAAATCAAAATCATCTCTAATGCGCCGATTCCCAGTGACATTCTCAAGCAAATGAACTTGCCCTTCTTGCTCACACCACACATGGTTTGCACATTCATGCTTTGGCCCAAATGCAAAGCAAATGCAACGTAAGCAAGTTCGCTTGCTTGTGGGACTCTTCTCACCTGTGCTTCCTCATTTGCATCGTCCATTGTGCAAGAAAGCACAGAGCACGTACTACAACGTGCAGAGCACTGGGGCTGGGCTGCAGGAGAGCCAGGGTGGGCTCCTGCACAGGACACAGTGAGCAGTGCAGGGTAAAGGATCCCTCCTTGCCCAGTGCACCCATCGACCTCTGAAATACAGCACCCGCTCTGATATAACACACAAGGTCTGTGGAGAGGACCCTGGAGCACAGTGTGAGCGTGTGAGGAAGGAACCCATGCCTTTGGTCATGATAATCCTACTGCAGTCTTGCCCGGAGAAGAGAAGGCTCCAGGGAGGCCTCGTAACAGTCTTCCAATACCTAAAGGGAGCCCCCAAGAAATATAGAGAGGGGCTTTGGACAAAGGCCTGTAGGGACAGGCCATGGGGAATGGCTTTAACCTGCCCGAGGGGAGACTGAGATGAGCTCTTAGGCAGAAGCTCTTCCCTGTGAGGGTGCTGAGGCGCTGGCACAGGGTGCCCAGAGAAGCTGTGGCTGCCCCATCCCTGGCAGTGTTCAAGGCCAGGTTGGACACAGGGGCTTGGAGCAAGCTGCTCCAGTGGAAGGGGTCCCTGCCCGTGGCAGGGGGTTGGGACTGGATGAGCTTTAAGGTCTCTTCCAACAGAAACCAGTCTGGGATTCTATGATTAAATGCCCTGAACAAGCCACTCTTTTGCAAATCCTCTGAGCGTAAAATGGGGTGAAATCCCCCTCCTGCCCTGATAAAGCCATTTCACTTGAGATGCCAAACAGGTCAGTAAAGAACACAGTTTGTTAGTCCCCACCATCAAAAGCTCTTCCTATGAAGTGTGCAGCTTCTGAGCCCTTTGCACAAGCTCACGGGGCCCTGTGGAGCCTCAAACTTACCCTGAAATTCCACTTGACCAACTGTGCGAAGATGTTCCTCAGGGCATCGTGGTGGGTGTAGAGCTCCACCTGCCCCGGGCAGTCAAACAAGTAGTAGTGACCCCTGAACGCAGCCAGCTTCTCCTGCAGCCAGTCGAAGTTGGCCTCCAGGTACTCCATGCAGTAGATCAACCCCCCGTTGGGCCCCAGCTTCAGGCTCTCCATGACGTCGGGCAGGGTGATGAGCTCGGCGATGTCCACGGAGCATTGGTAGGGCATGGTCTCGTTGGCAGGGTCCAGGTTCACCACCGTCACCTTGCGCCCAAGCCTGCCCATGAACTCCTGCATGCCATGGCAGTACGTTGTCTTGCCAGAGCCCGGAGGGCCGATTACCACCTGGCCAAAGGCCAGCGAGCTCCCCTTGCTGCCCTCAGACATGTTGGCTCATCTCCTTCCCTCGGCTGCAGAAGGAAAATCCACCGTTTACCGTTTTATTTGCATTGATACGAACGGGAGAGCTGCTGGAATTCACACCGAAGGGAGCATGTGGAAAGGAAGGGGAAGGGGCCATTGTGTCCCTGCTTGCACTGCTGAGCCCCACGCCGGGGGGGACGTTACCCTGTCACCCCCCAGCTGGCGATGCTGTGGCTGGAAACAAGCACAAACACCCCCCCCCCCCCAACCAGACCCACAGGGCTGTGCCTGAGGGGGCAGATCCCTCCCTGCTGCCCGCTGTGGGGTGAGGTTTACCCTAACGGGGTCCTTCCTGATGTGGCAGGGGCACCGGTTCCCTCCCCTCCATTGCTCCACGCCCTCCCTCCTCCCCATAGCGTTCCACATCCCCTCTCCTGCATGCTCCTTCCCGCACCCTCACAGGGAAGCTCTTCCGCCTCAGAGCTCACCCCAATCCCCCCCCCCCGGCACGTTAAAGCCATTCCCCCTCGTCCCATGAGCCGCATCCTCTTCTCCCCACGTCCCTTTATCCCCCACCACGTTCCCCCTTCTCCCCAGTAACCCCCGTTCTCCTCCATACCCCCTGCCCAGCTCCCTTCACGGCCCATGGCCCCCACAGCCGCCCGTAGGCCGCTCGCCGCCGCCGGTGCTCCGGGCACTGGGTCCGGGTGTCCGCGGGCCCCGAGCGCTGCGTTCCGGGGTAGGAACGGCGGCTGCCAACACAGCACCCTCTAGCGGCCGGAGGGACGCGTAGCTCCTCCAGCGCCGGGACTCGACCCCGGATCTGAATCCCGGCATCAGGGGGTGGGGTCGCGGGTTCGAGTCCCGCCGCCGGCCCTTGTCCCTCCAGCACAACCCAAACCCTCCGTCTGCCTCCAAGAGAAGGGGAAATCACTCCCTGCATCCCACCCGACACGGCGAGAGCCTTAAGGAAGGTCAAGGGGAGCCCGCCTGCGGAGTGCCCACCAATCCCCATTCAACCCTCCAGTACTGGGTCACTAGGACGAAGGCTTCCCATCCCCCTCGGCATCCAAGAAGAGTGCCTGCGTCAGGAAAACGGGGCAGAGCATGTTCAGAGAGCTGTGGAAGGAAGCACCCGCTACGCCCGACCGCAGGGCAACGCCTCCCGCAGAATTCCTCTGGAGGCTGCCAGGACAAGTCTTTCATCCCGATGAGTTTCTCCCAGGAGTGTGGGATCACCACACCCAAGCAACGCGAAGCTGCGGGCCAGCAGGGAGCTTTCAGCAGGACAGTTACCGTGCCACGGCTCACCCTGTCTGTACTTGTCCTTCCCTGGGTCTCAGGCAACCATGAACTATGAGTTCTGGGTTGTTAGGCTCACCTAGCACACAGGCTTGGTTGATTCAGGCATTAGTAGCGACTTTAAACCACCAGTCAGAAGTGCAACACCCTTCCCAGTTCCCACTGGACAGGATCAGTGCTATTTTCCCTCATTGGAGGGTTCAATTAGGGGAAAAAAACCCCACCGACACAATTTGTTACAAGTGTGTATTTCTTCCAAAAATAAATATAAAAACACCCTGCTTCAAACCTGAGACCAGGAGCCAGCCTGTGCTCAGCAGGAGTGGAACCATCCCAAAGGCTCTGTGACAGTCTCTGCTCAGTGGGACTGGGCACTGAAGCTCTGCAGAGCGCCATGGGATGCCCGGACAAATGCCATGTGCTGCCTGTACTTCATGGCAGTGGGTGGCTGGCGCCTGAGCAGTTGGTCACCACTGTCCTTTGGGTCAGGGTCATCGTAGATGGTTGAGATGAGGATGGGAGAGTCCTGCCGGGGCTTTTTCACCCTGATGAAAGTTGACAGTTTCTCCCCGTGGTACCTAGAAGGAAGCAGGAAATGTTTGGTCCCACATTGCTGAGGCAGACAGGCACCCCTGTGAAACCCAGCTCCTTTCCTTCACCTCCTGCACAGGAGAGGTGTCCTTGTAATAAGCATTCTTATCCTATTCCTGGCTGTGAGAACTGTAGAACAAGAGCCAGCCCTCACAGTGAAGCACACCACCACACAAAGCCTCCAGCGCCTTCTCCTGAGAAGGCAGGGCTGAGGTGCATGGCTACAGCTCAGGTAGCTGGGGCTCTCCCTGCTAGAGTACCATAGCAGAGGTGACTCTCAGTCCTCAAGCACAGCTCTCCCTTTGTGTTTGTGTGCTGTAGAAACCTACAAACGATTTCCAGTTCTACTCTTAACACCATACACCCCTGTAAGGAGCACTGAACCCATCAGGAACAGCAGCATAGTTGGCTCTGGGGTGCTGTGGCAGGCCCTGCCACCAGCTGCACAAAGGCAGATCCCTGTTCCTTCTGCAGCCAGTTAGCTGCTGTGTCAGCCCAGATTGCTCAGGCAGAAGCTCTGAACACCACCCAGCAAGTGATGGTTGGGTACTTACCCCAGCCCCCTCTTACATCTGGGGTTCTGACCCTCATTGTCCAGAGCTTCAGCCATTCCGGAGTTGCTGCTCCCCAGCCCCAGCCCCTCCGTCCAGCCCTGCTGCTCCAGCACCTTCCTGCCAAAGCCCTGGGAGAGAGGAAAAAAACCATCACAGAGCTGCTGGACAAAGCCCCCCATATCTTCTGCAGAATGCTCTGCCCCTTCCTCACATCTAAGACCTCTCCTCCCCCTAACTCACAAGTGCTGCCACCTCCTGCCCTGCCCCATCAGCTCCTGAGCATGTATCCAAGGCTCACCTTGGTGTATCTCTCAAAGGCACCAATCTGCTGCCTTGAAACAGACCCATCCTCCAAACCGTCCCGGAGTCGCTGCTCCAGACGCATCTGGACCGAGTCCCGAGCATCCTTATCACCTCCATCTAGGGAGAAAGAAGCAAGAGTCAGAGCAGCACAGCTTAGGAAAGCTGCTCACTCCCATCATTTCCCCCAGAGCAGCACGCAACAAGGAAGCAGAACCTGTTCTTCTTGGCAGCTCTCACTGCCAGACAAGAAGAAACGCTGTTTGATGTACCCTGACGTCTTGGACGCTTTCAAAGGATGACAAAGCCAAAGAATTCCTCACTGCAGAAATTCTGCAGGGTCAGAGTTTCCCAACCTCCCTGGTTTCCTGAGTGTGTGTGGGGGTTCAGCTCAAGATACCTTTGTCATAGTAGATGCTCATGTCCACATCCCAGTCATCTGCAGTCTGCTCATCGAAGTCTGCCAAGAGAAAGGAAACACCAGTTTTGGGGACAGTTGTGGAAGCCTGACACAGAAGAGCTGTTTGATGGTGGCCCAGATCCCTATTCTCTCTAACAAAATGGGAAGGAAACGGTATTAGAAGCTCTGCACACCACAGTGCTTACACAAGGGGCTGCCAGCATGACCACTGGGGTCTCTGGTGACTGGATTGAACCACTGCAGGTTTTGTGCTTGAGGGAAGGTTTAAAAAGCAATGGCAAGATACCCACATCTGCAGCTGATGTGGAGTGTTCCTATGGGGTGACGTGATTTACCTGCAGGCCTGCCCCCCCCTAGCTCGTGGTGGTTAGTTTGTGGCTCAGTGACACAAACACCAACATTACCTCCATCCTGCTCCTGCCAGTACTGAGCATCTGTGTAGAAGACAAGGCCAGAGCCGCCCTTCTCCCACTTCAGCTCAATCTCCTCTTCAAAGAGCCTCTCCTCCACACGGTCCTGCTTGGTCACGTCCTCGTACAGAGCCTCGTGGCGCTCCCATTCCTCACAGGTATCATTGTCCTGCAAAGGAGGTGGAGAAAGGTGGGTGCCAGACAGCACCCGGCCTCCCCCGTTTCCCTCACCCTCACAGCACCTTCCCTATGAAACAGCTTTGTCGACAGAGCTCGTCTCAGCCTGCTGCTTTCAGGCACTAACACGACCAGCACTGATGACTTCATTCCCCTGACTAATGCCATCTTCAGAGTCAGCAGAGAGAAGTGGTGAAAAATACCACATCACACCCACTTCAGAGCATGCTTTCAGCGGTGTACTCCCTCTGGAACACACAGATGCCCATGTAAGGAGCAGGTGTGTTGGACAGAAAGTCAGCACTAGCAACAAATTAATTCCACTCATGTTGATCCCTAAAGAGATTGTGCTGGTTCCAGGGAAGCAGCTCACTGGCACGGCCACAGAGCAGACTGACAGCTTTACTGCTGCCTGCCCACTTCTGGGTAGAGTCCTCTAATGAAGACATTAACCAGCTGAGGAAGAGCCAAAAGAATGGCTGGAGATCCAGGAAACAGCCTGTGAGAAACAGCTACAGGAGTCTGTTTAGCCTGGAGAAGAAAACACTGAATACAAAGTTTGTAAAGCAAGGAACAAAGCATTCCCTGTGTCCGCTGTTGCTAGGAGAACCTAATGGCATAAAACTGCAGCAAGGATTCAGCATCTAAGTTAATTCTGGTGTAGCAAAGAACGGGAATGGCTTGCCTCAGGATTGTGCTGGCTCTGTAATAATAGAGGGCTGTGAGAACAGGCTAGACAGGCGTCTGTCAGGTGGAGAGAAGGGAGAAAGTCTCCGGAGAGCCTGTCCAGCCCAGTTTTCTAGGAGTCTTTGTCATGAAAGCCATTTTTCTCCGAATGACTACCTTCAGTGCAGGAGCAATCAAGGTCAGCCATTTGTGCAGCTCCATGCATCGTTTCCAGCACATGAATGTGCTCCCAAATCTCATTTACAAGCAACAGCAGAGCTGGGCCAACCTGCCAAACAGCAGGGCAGGGATCTGCTCCTGTAGCACCAGCCTCCTCCTGTGCCTGCTCCTCTGGACTGAACCCTTTGGGCTCAACCCTGACCAAACCCTTTGGGCTCAACCCCTACAACCACCCTGCTTTGGACAGGCAATTTTGGAGGTGTTAATGCCTACATTGTCCACGTGCCAAGATGTGAACACCCTCATGTTAACACTGCTTTTAGACAAGCAATTTATATAACAAAGATAAAAAGCAAGCTCTGAGAGCTGTACTGGCCTTCCCAGCTGTGCAGCTGCAGTGGGCAGCTCTGGATGGTGCTAGAAACATCCACTTACATCATCTGAGTGCGATTCCTCTTCCTCCTTCTCCTGCCCCTCCTCATCTTCCTCAGCACGGGCTGGGTGAATCACCTCAGATGTTGCCACAGGCC